TCCCTGCTACACCCTAACCCTCGGTTCGCGGGAGCCATGGTCGCTGTCTTGGGACGCCGGGGGCCTGACTACTGTGAGGACGTGGGCTCACATAATCTCCTGTATATGGCGGCGACTTTGGTGGCCCCGTTGCAGCTGCAGTGGGTAGACTGACCGTGGAGCAAAACACAGCTACAGTCACGATACTGGTGTATCCTGCCTTACAAGTTGAGAGGACAGCGAGCATACAACTTATCTGCAGGGCAATAGACAGCCACGGAGGAGCTCTGCTTTGCGTGGACCACACTGTGTCTGCTACGTTTAGTACTCTTTGCTGGCTGCTGGACTAGACAGCTGAAACTCCCACGGGATACGAGCGTGCATGGGTTAGTACTCTTTGCTGGCTGCTGGACTAGACAGCTGAACCTCTCGCGGGCTCCGAGCGTGCATGGGGCGCGACCCTCTCCGTTCTACATGGCTGCAAGTGCTGAGATGCTCTTTGGCTCTTTGCAATAGGTACGGAGTGAAGCAGAGGCGTGGTACTCCAGACAACCCGCTTGGGATAGAGTCCTGCACATAGCTGAACAACCACATCAGGACGAGTTGCATGTGTCTGCATAGTCTGCATGGGAGAGCTACATGATCTCGAGGTGACCTTCTGAGGAGAGCTTTTGAAACAGTTAGCGAAATAGGGTAGCTGGTACTGGCTGCCATTCTCGCTGGGCCGCATTTATGGGTGCGCGCTGTCGTCGGCCTAGTGAATAGGCTCGTGTTCAGATTCAGTTCAGATTTTCAGCTTTGGTTTCTGTATTTCAACTTGGGTCATTACTTTAAGCTGGGTCTCCGAGGCCAATGGCAGCGTAGCGCCCTGAAGCCGCTCTGCTCCTCTGACCACCCTCATTGTTTGTTGTTACCGTCTTATGTCGTACCTACCCAGATACTTATGTTTCGTATTCGGTGGCTTGGTGACAGAGGGCGGAGCAGATAGTTGAAGTAAAGGTAGCAATGGACCATCAAGCCGTGCCTGCGATTGTGCGAGTGTGCGAGTCGAAAGCCGTCCCCTCAATAACACAGAGGGTGGACGGGCGGGCTGAAAGCCTGAGGGTCACAACGGTGACCCCTAAGCCCGGCAGAAAGAAAGAAAGAGAGAGAGTATATGGTGTTGAAGGTACGGGCTTTCGGTGAGTGAATATTAGCGCTTCTTGCGAATATCGGCGTTTAGAGACACAGAAGCGGTGTTGTTACTCAGCTCGCAGTTCGGGCTTCACAGAGCCGTACGGAACGTGCACTAGGCTGGATGTGCTTTGCACAGGTGTCGAAGGAGGCATTCACACGCAAAGAAAGACAGAAGCAGACGCAAAGACTGACGTAAAGGTCGGGCGGGCCGAGGGCCGAGTCCCTGCGGGTCTTTCGTGACCTCTACGCCCGGCAGAAACAAAGAAAGAAAGACTGACGGATGTAACCGTCTATCCGTGCTGTGCGAATTTGCTCGTCCGTGTTTCTCGCACGGGTTCCCCGAGTCTCCCTCCGAGAGATAAGGCCCACACCCTTAATTCATGAGGCCTTGTCAGTGCGTGACTAATTGCAAATGGTATTCCGCACGGCTCTTGGCAGAACGACAACCCCAAAACTCCATCTGATTTCGTAAGGTAACTAGTGTGAGCAGTTCCCTAAACCCTATTCCATGTCTTAAGGCCCCTACATTGCAGGTCAGCTTCGATTCTGTTCGTGCGCGAAAGGTGGAGCCGGGCACCCTGGGCCGGGTCGCACGGATTGCGTCCGCTTTGGTTATCTTAGCTGTCATGTTTCTGGTATAACATTATCACGGATGCAATGATTTATCCTCAGAGTGATGTTTGTATAAGTTAGGTCAGCCAGGTGTGTACATAGAAATTGATGTATCCTGAACACGATGTTGATGCAAGTTAGTTGTATACATATAAGTGTACATATCCATGACAGGACCTCGG